TAATCCACTACCAGATTTTGTGCCGAGAGGCTGCGCTCACTGCTGAGGACACTGGAGATTGCAGACATTGCTGATTTCTCAGCCATTACCCTGATCTCACACTTTGCCACACTTGTCAGCACCTATAGCAAAGGTAACAAAGCCTCGTCCTGCCCTCCTCCAACTATAAAGCTGTGGTCACATTAAATATTTTTCTGCAAATTTGCGCAAGAGAAATCCAGTAATTCCAAAGGAAATCCATGTGATTGGGAATTTTGCGTGAGGGCAAACGATTTCCCTATGCAAATTTTCAAGTTTGGGTTCAAGTTGGTCACAAGGATTTGTCACAATGACCAACAGAAAGCTGCTTGAGTTGGACATCTTATCTTATTTTTTTTGGCCCATGAAAAGTTTCTGAAATTTCGCTAATGTGACCACACTGAAAATAATATCTCAAACTCTTCTCAATCTAATAATGATTTCCTGCAAAAGTGAGTTCTTATGTGTAATCATTCTCTTTTAGGCTTCACCATCATCATTGAGCCCTTTGAAGATAGAACGCCGACAATAGCAAATCCTGTTCTTCACTTCAGGTACATTAATTCTGCTTTAATACAATGTGTCACATTTTCTATGAAATGTCTTTGTCACTTACTTTGGATTCTTTCTATGCAGTTGCATGGACCCCTCTATCGCCATAAAGCCAGTGTTTGGGCGCTTTCAATCAGTCATTATCACATCAGGGGTAAGCTGTGCTCCTCAATCCATATGCCCCATCTTTCCATGAATATTAGATTACACACCCTGCTCACTAATCTCTTCATTATAATCCCACTGTAACACTCATGCCATCTGTGTAAGACACACTCCACTTTCACCTTAAATGTGCAAGCCACATTTAAAATGGGTTTGCTTTAGCTTGTTAATTGGTTTGAAAAGGAGGAGCCTTTCATTCAACATCAGTAGCCTACACATCTAGTGTTATTGCGAAACATATTCAACAAATATTACTTAAACCTTCTGCAGATATTTGTTTTAGAAACTTCATTATTTTGAGTTGGCAAATAATTTGATTTAAGATCATTATCGATTCTCTCTCTGAATAGACGCTCTCTCCGCTGGACATCTACCCACGCATCCTTGATTTCCGCCCAGTCACTGTGGCATCTTTTACCATGACACTGGCACGAACCTGCCTGTGCCCTCTTGTGAGTTATGACTGGCAATGCCATCCAACTGTGTGTCGTTTACCATTTGACGAAAGCAATTACGCAGATATTTGCATATTTAATTGAGAGTTTTAATGAAGATATGCTGGACTGGTATCTTTTAAAGACACATTAAATCAGTGGTTTTTAGTCTTTTTGACTCGGAGGGCCCCTGATGTCCGACACAATATTGGAAGCCCCCCATATAGGCGCACTTTTTTTATATATTTCTGCTGACAGAGCTGCTTGTTCTTTTTTATTAACAGAAACTGAGAGTATTGATATATTAGATTTATTAAATTCATTTTGTGATTCTTGAAAGTTTTAAGAACTGTATTTCCTTCAATAAAAACCATTATTTTTCCAACTTTCAGATTGTTGGCCGAGGGAATGATCAGGTAGCGATGACCTCCAAGTTCGAGACCAGAGAAGACTTTGGTAAGTTGTTTTGTGATTTTGTTTGTATTACTGACTTTATTTTGCGAGTGCAGTTAAAAGGTAACTGTTTTATTTAACATACATCCCATAGCTGTGATCCGGAACTATGGAAACCTGCTGCTGGAAATGTCTGCTATTGTTCCTGATGGAATCGTTGCATTCTTCACAAGCTACATTTACATGGAGAATATTGTGGCCTCATGGTACGAACAGGTATGAAGAGACAACTTGATTCTTTCTCAGATCATTGAAAGTGCTGTTAAGATTAGCATAACTAATTATCTTGCTTGATTTGTAGGGGATCCTAGAGAACATCCAAAGAAACAAGCTAATTTTCATAGAAACCCAGGATGCAGCTGAGACCAGCATGGCCCTGGAGAAGTATCAAGAGGTCAAAAGACATTGGGTTTTTAATGCTCCCTAATCCTATTTTCTTTAATCGTGTTGTGTAACGTTGACTTTATTTTAGGTGCCCTGTATTAAAGTAATCACTTTCGTTATCTTTCACTTTCAGGCCTGTGAGAATGGCAGAGGAGCAATTCTGCTTTCAGTGGCAAGAGGGAAAGTGTCAGAGGGCATCGACTTTGGTGGATACTAGTCCCTTTAACAGTTTTGAACAGTTTCTTTATACAGGTTTTCTACAGGTCTTAAAAAGTATTAATTCGCCCTTCCATAAATTAAGGCCTTAGAAAGGTCTTAAATCGGTGCAGAAATTGTTACATTCATAAAGTCATGCCATTAAATGTTGCATGCACTGCCAAAAATGAATATCTTCCTCAGTATTTTTGTCTTTTTTCCAGTACAAACATCTAAACATTCTTAAATCAAGATAAATTTGCTAGATACAAAATTAAGACTAATATGATGCTAAACAAAAACAAAATATCTGCTAATGGGGTTAGAAATATAATCTTGTTTTCCCTTTAAATTAAATGTATCTTTCTGACCCTTTTGGCAGATCATTTTTCTTGTTTTAATCAAACTTAATTTTGATTAATTTCTTTGTCTCCTTCCATTATATTTATTCTTTAAAAGAATTGTGTAAACGTTTGTTCATCAGCTTTTCTTCTCAACCACCAGTTCATCATTATGGCCGTGCCGTTATCATGTTTGGAGTGCCATATGTTTATACCCAGAGCCGAATCCTCAAGGTTTGTAGAGCTATTTCTCCCAGATTCTAATTTTGAAGATTTTGAATTTATTTTGTAATTAATAAAAATACCCTGACCTGGTTTTTTTCTTTAAATCAGGCACGTCTGGAATACCTCAGAGACCAATTTCAAATCCGGGAAAATGACTTTCTGACGTTTGATGCGATGCGACATGCGGCTCAGTGTGTGGGCAGAGCCATTCGAGGCAAAACAGACTACGGCCTGATGATCTTTGCAGATAAGGTAAGTAAACTAGTGAGAAGGTAGCATGATTTTTTTTGTTTTTCTTAGTTGTTTAATTGATGTGTTTCCCTCAGCGTTATGCACGAGCGGATAAGCGAGGAAAGCTGCCCCGCTGGATCCAGGAACACCTTACAGATGGAAGCCTAAATCTGACCATTGATGAGACTGTGCAGTTAGGCAAGCACTTTCTACGACAGATGGCCCAGCCCTTCAGACAGGTAAGGTCAACGCACACATTAACCTTCCTCAGCCTGTTCAGTGATCTAAACCTCTCATGCTTACGGTGGTCATTTAATCAGTTTAGAGTTAAATTCTTTCTAAATTTAAACCAGTTGAAATGATATACACATAAAAAGAGAGCACAATGACACGTTTGGAGGGATGAGGTTGTTAGGTGCATGTTCTCAGTGATGTTGAATTAAGAGTCTTTGTGGCATGTTTGTGTGGCAGGAGGATCAGTTGGGTCTGTCTCTGCTGACCCTGGAACAACTGCAGTCTGAGGACATGCTTCAGAAAATTGCTCAGATCGCTCAACAAGCCTGAGGACTCAAAGCGAACAAAAGGAACTAAGTCTGGCAGATATGTATATATGTGTGTTTTTTTATGATTCTTTAATATGGTGTTTTCTACAACAATCCCAGAAGCATTAATAAATGCTGTTCTTTAGCCAGTGTCGTTCTTTACTGTTTGAAGAGAAACATGCTGTCTCAAAAGCAGCTGTAGAGGGCACACAAGCACACTAAATTAAGGGGAAACAACTGAAGGACACCAGGAGTTGGATACCAGCTATTGATTGGTCCGTATCAGCTGTCAAGCACCTAATTATCTGAAAACACTTTTCACACATTTTGATTTTAACAGAGGTAGAACAATTTTATTTGGTTCATCAGCAACATTCAGTATATAAATATATTCCCTAAGCTCATGGAATATGTAACATGATTCAACAATATATAGTATGTACAGCGGTTTAGATTATGTAACTTCTCATTGATGCCTAACCACTCAGTAACTACATCCACCAGCTAGATTCAAGTTATATACTGTGTATTAGTACCCTGAAATTCTGCTAATATAAAATCCTGCCTATTATTAAAAATAACTTAAACTAAAGCAATAGCACAGCATGTGTGTATATATAAGTACAACATGTGCTTGAAATTGAAAAATCAGAAGTCCCTTATTTTATAGGCACAAGTCGTACCAGAGTTGGTTGATATTAACTCAGAACCAAATTATCATGTACAACAGCATATCTTACATTCATCTTGGAATGTAACATCATGAATTACAATTCTTTATGAATCTGAGTTAAGTGCATTTAGAAGCAATGAAGATTTAAGTGCAAATTGTTCAATTCAATATTATAATTCTTTTGCATGGTGGTGTGAGGACATGGAATCTGTCACATATTGCTACAATATTCTAAGTAAACTGTTGCGGTGCAGTAACATTAGCATAATTTTGGAGAAATTTAGCAGGTCAATAATGTAGCGATGAATTATGATCACAAAATAGAGACTTTCACAACACAAGCTTCCTGTTGGTCAACGTGGCGACCAACCTGAACACAAGTGAAACCTGAGTGTGGGGAGCTTTTTCTTGTCCTCACACGAAACTCCTGAATGCATGGATTCCTATTGTAATGACTGGATTTTGCCTGCAAAAATCTGCTGAGTGAAAAATCTGCACCCTGCTGAAGGCTGTAATATTGGATAGCCTGATTATCAAATATGGCCCTATCTTTAAAATGTAATAAATGATACATTTCTGATATTTTATATTGCTACTGGCTTTTAAAATATGAGTAGATTGAACTGATTTTTACACCATGTAAAAAATATTTTTGTAAAGCCAAAGTGTGCTTTCCTTTTCCAGGAGCACTTTAACAGACTGCTTTGAAGTGTGAGTCTCAGGGAGGCCTGCATTCATCGTCACATACTAGTCCTCATATTATTGTCAAATATGATCTTTGCAGTCATTACAGACCAGTCAGATGTGAGGTTGACATCTCAGCATTGCCCCAGAGTCCTGATGTCATATGGCTTGTCTGAAAGTTAGCCGTCTCACCGCTTAGAGACGCGCGGCGGGCTAAACTCTGTGTGCTGGAACTCAGACCTCGTGCGTCTGTCAGCCTCTTGGGCTTCTGAAAATACAAAATAGACTTTTATTATTTGTTAATCAATCTCTAACTAATTCCTGCTTACTGTAATATTATTCACCACCCTTCAAAAGTGTAGGTTCACTAAGATTTTATTTTAAAGAAAATATTTTTATTCAGCAAGGATACATTAAATTGATTAATAGAAAGTTCAAAAGAACAGCCTTTATTTGAAAGACAAATCTTTTGTAACATTATAAAAGTTTCCACAAAAATATTAAGCAGCACAACGGTTTTCAACATTGATAATAATTAGAAATGTGTTGTGAGCACAAAATCATCATATTAGATTGATTTCTGAAGGATCATGTGACTGAAGACTGGAGTAATGCTGCTGAAAATTCAGCTTTGCCATCAGAGATTACATTTTAAAATATATTCAAATAGAAAACATTTTAAATTATTGCACAATATCAAATTTGACTATTTTTACTGTATCAAAATAAATGATCAAATGCAGCCTTGGTGAATATTAGATACATGAGCAAATTTGAAAGCAAAAACCCAGCACTTACCATAGCAGCCTCTTGACTCTCTTTTAGACCCACATTAAGCACATTTAGAGAATTGGCTCTCTTCATCCTGTTTAAAAATAAACGAGTAGTTAAATATACAGCTCTCTTCTACATAAAAAGTGACGAGAGCTGAACAATAAGCACAATATCATTACCCAGCAGCTCGAGGAGCTGTTTCCTCTGTTCCAACTCCTTTCAGTTTCCGAACAAGTTTTTCGCTGCTTCGTCTTATGGATTCCCGGAGCTTGGTAAACGACCCACTGCGCTTCAGACTTCCCAGACCATCCTACAGTGCGCACACACAGAAGAAGTAGTACATTAAAAACCTCCTCCAGCTCATAAAACATATATATTTGGATCAGAAACAGACCTGTCTTGAGCTTCCCTCCTCTGTATGTATCCAAACTGGCTGTCCATCCCCTTTATAGATGTGAAAATATTAATTTACTGTTGGACAGGTATGTTAGTAGGTCAAATTACTGTATATAGAAAATTCACTTCACCCTCCACTGAGCCAAACTCCTTCTCATGAGCACGAGTCAGAATCTCTTTATAAAGAGCCTCAGCTTGTCTATACTTGCCCTGCTTGAGGTAACAGGAGGCCTGAAGAGCACATGAATGGTATATTATATAGCATGCATAATATACTACTACTATCATTATTAAAACACTAGCACTTGACAAGAAACTAATTTCCTATCCTGACCAGGTTATTCTTGGTCTTGGCCACGTTGGCATCGTCTGGACCCAGCTGGCTCTGGTAAATGTGCAACGCACGTTCATAGTACTGCTCCACCTCCTGGTATTTGCCCTGGTTCTGGCATAGGAGGGCTAAGTTATTCAGCTGTTTGGCTACATCAGGGTGATCTGTCCCAAGCACCTGTCAATAGACAAAGATAGGCTAGATATTTAGACTAGGCCAGTGGTTCTCAACCTTTTTGACTCCAAGGCCACAACAATATTTAAAGGCTTCATGACTTTTCCAGTTGTTCTTGATTTACTGGATAAGGATAAAGTCATTATTACAAGATGATGATTTGCTACTCAAGAAACATTTCTTATTATTATCAATGTTGAAAACAGTTGTGCTACTTAGTATTTTTGTGCAAACCAGGATATTTTTTTTCAGGATTCTTTGACAGCCTTATGTCACTTTTGATCACTTTAATGCATCCTTGCTAAATAAATTATTTTCTTTCAAAAAGAAATCTTACTGACCCCAAACTTTTAAACGCTAGTGTACAGGTAATCTGATTTTACAGCTGTTATAGAAAGGACATGCGGGACTACAATTCACTCTTTTTGTGGCAGTACCTTTTCTCTGATCTCCAGAGCTCTTTTACACAGCGGCTCTGCCTCTTTATACTTCCCCCTTTTTCCATACAACACAGCCAGATTATTCAGAGTAGCTGCCACCTACAAACACAAACATAAACTCAAGGAAAGGGACCTAATGTATATAGATTGCATATGTGACATTATTGACTTTCCAAAGAAAAAATAGATTAATAAAAACAAACTATAACAGTAACATATTACATCTTTAAACAGTACATACTGCTGGATGGTCCATGCCTAGTGTCTTCTCACGGATGGCCAATGCATCATTAAGAAGATTGGCAGCTTCCTTGTATTTGTTCTGATCCCTGTAGAGCATAATATTCATGTTATTTAATAAGATTAGAATACAGATTAATAATTATATTTACATCTAAGGCTAAATGAATGTGTGATGTTCTACAGAAGTGACCTGTACACTAAAGCCAGAATATTGAGCATGGTAGCAACATCCGGGTGGCTGTGGCCCGAGGATTTCTCCAGGTCCTCCAGAGCTTGCTTGCAGAGTGGCACGGCCACCTCATAGCGGCCCTGAGAGGCGTACTGGATCACCAGGTTGTGGAGAGTTCGGAGTCGGGCAGGGATCTCATATCCTCCCTGCTGGGCAGCAGCGGCGGCACTACTGTGCGGCTGAGACACTGCAAATACAAGAGTTGCGATGAGACACATGCACACATGGTTAAAGATTGAGCTGTGCTGATCATGAGTTCAAACCAATCTTGTGACATTTCTCAATTTCCTGACCTCTACTTTTCTCTCAATAAAAACATATCGAAATAATCTTTAAGAAGTTCAAATTCTAGTTGTGGTTATAGTAAATCCTAACTGTGGTTGAAACCTAACACTGCCCTAAACCTTGCGTCAACTAAACCTTGCTTGCTCTAACGGCTGACATGGTAAACAAATGTGTAAAGGAACAGCTGTGATCTGTGAGGATTGCCGTACTGTGTGATTGCTCCTCTTCTTCACTAGGAAAGAGATCATCAAGGGACTCCTTCCCTGAATTAGAATCTTTATCCTCCTGTAAGAAACAAACAGCATGAACATGTCATGAGTGTATGATTTAATATTCTGAATAGCCTTTAGACCAGCGGCTCCCAATCATCGGTTCAGGGCCCACAGCACACTTCCAAGAGGACAGGATGACTTACTTAAATTAGTAAATTATTATTAATATATTAAAATCGCATCATTCTGAACTAAATTAAAATGCTAAGAAACAGAAGAAAATCAAAATGTAAATTTTTCTTTTTTTCTTATTTGTTTTTATTGAAGAACACAGTTTTTGAAATCACAATATGAATCATGTTTAATTTAATACATCAATACTCCTAGATTTTGTGAATAAAAAAAAGTTTAAAAACAAGCAGCTTTGTCATAATTACAATAGAAATACGGAAATATCTTTATTTATATGGGGGTCAATTACTTTTGGTACTTTTATGTCCCAAGTGTTGATTTTTCAGATCTCTACCTTTTCTTGTTATATGAAGGTCAGACTGACTTTATGTCATGCCACGCATTTATTTTTCCTCCTTATTAAATGCCATTTTGTATGGCATTGTTTTACCCTTGTGCCAGGCACAGACATTAGATAAAATATGAAAATCCATCATGAAAATATTAATTACATTACGTCTAAAGCTATGATAATCCAAACAGAAAATAAAATAAACATAACTACACAAATAAATATAATTGATATAGATTTTACACAAATTGCATTTGTCCCACTGCTGCGCCGTCATTTCCACAACACAATTCTACCCCTATAAAGTTCATTAAAAAAATGTGTGTACTTATTTATCAGAAATAAACGCAGCGAAACATATGCCTGAGATGAAATATGACGAGATCAGAAAATAAAGAAAAATCAAGGTTAATGTCACTTGTGAGCAGAATATTGTTATTGTGAATCATTTTCAATCAAGATGTAATTTTGTCAAGTATTATTTAATTGTGTGCATTTAATTGTTTGCCATTTTCTTATTAAAAACAAACAAACAAAACCCCATATCTACAAAGCTAGTCTACAACAAATGTTTAGCTTAAGAACCTAAATGTATTATCCAGAAGAATGTTTTCAAGATGAACCTTTACCATAGGCGGTTCTTCGTGGTCGTACTTGCGGATGCTGCTCATGAACTGCAGGTGTCTGTTCTGCTCCTCTAAAGTAACCACTTCCTGTTCCCGCTCCTGTAGCTGCTGCTGGGCTCGGGCCAGCTCGTCCCTCAGCCACTGGTTCTCCTGGCACAACCTCCGCACCTGAGCACGCAACTTCTGCTTCTCTGCCTCCAAGGAGCCCAGGTGTGCTGACAGTGCCATCATCACCTGAATGAGCGGGAAATAGACGGCTAGGGTGAGTGGACATGCTCTTAATGGGACTGAAAGTGAATGAAGATGACTGTGCCGCTCACTTGCGCCTCTCCTAGGCCCAGTTCAATCCTCTCCAGAGACTCTAAAATAATGTTGGTCTTCTCCTGCTCCAGGCTGCCGCTCTCGCTGGATGTCTGGCTCTGGAGCGTTTCCTGCATGCTGTCCAGCAGCGTGCGGTTCTCTCCACGTAGAGCCTCCAGCCCTGCGATCACCTGCTGGGTGCTGCATAAGATTTCCTCCCCTGACAACATGTCTGACACTCAGTCCCTAAAGAGGAAAATATGCATTTAGTATTAATTATCATGCATTCAATGTGCAAACTGAGCATGACCCCAAGGCCTTTTTCACACAGCATGCAGCAGTACATTATAACTTTCACATTAACACTATTTCTGCTGCGTAACTGTAGGTCTTATCAGAAAGTAACATGATTTCTGGGTTACTATACTGAGTATTGTGTTGACGATGCAAATTATTATTCAAAGTGGGAAATTTACATATAGTTCCAACTTTGTTATATGAGGATTTTTGGATCATGCACACAATAAATTGAGCAAAAATAAAGGCATTTAAAATGTTAAAAAATTTCAAATAAATGCTGTTCTTTTAAACTTTTGATTCAAAGTATCATGAAACAATTCATCACGGTTTCCACAAAAAATATTAAGCAGCACATCTGTTTTCAATATTGATAATAAACGTTTCTTGAGCAGTAAATCAGCATATTAGAATGATTTCTGAAGGATCATGTGACACTGAAGACTGGAGTAATGGCTGCTGAAAATTCGAAAACGGTTATTTTAAATTGTCATAATACTTCACAATATTCTTCACAATATTTCTGATCAAATAAATGCAACCTTGTTGAGCATAAGAGAATTAAGTTACTAGTTCAGCTACTGTATAAACTGCTTACTTTACTGAATCTAAAGTGGTTTGTGTGCTTGTCACTATGTTTGATTTTCAGACAAACAGATTTTTTTTTCAAACAATCTGTGTAAATGGGTGCTTCTATGTCACAAAAGGTTAAACAAAAACTTCTACAGCATGTTTCCATACTTGCCCATCTATATTTGATAGTTTTTACTATATTATAAATACTATGTGCAGCATAAAAAGCCTCAGCATTCAAATGATATTTGCAGAGCACCTTCTGCTACACTTTGGCGACATAAACTTACACAGACATTATTATATTGGAAAATGTATATAGACAAACACAAACAACTACAAAAACAAACAGAAAAGGGTCACAGGTAAAATTATATCACACACAGTATAGAATACCAGAAACTGACCTCAATTCACACTAAAAGCAAGATCTCATTTGACTGTTATTATCCATTAATTTTACGAAAACCTTAAAACACAGTGCAGCGAAGTGCAACATTCTAAATACAGGGAAAACACCTGTAAAAAAAAAATCAATACAGACAATTCCTTCGTATTAATAGTACATTTGTCACCTATTTTATGGATTTTTTTTTTTTTACAGTGTAGTTTTAAGGGAATAAGAGCAGAGACCCCTTTTAGCCTTAAGAGAGAAAGGTGAAGTGAAGCTTCTCTGCCACCCCAACAGATGAAAAGAAGCAGAAGGGTTGCTAGGTAAGAATCAGTTTACAGGTAGAAACAGATATCTCTCTGGGGAGGTACAGGACTGAGCTATTGTTTACGCCAGACTGATGAGGTCATCAACACAGGATAGATGCATTTAAGCTGAATTCATTGAGAAAATAACAAAACAATGATAAATGCATTAGATACCAGTTTGGCATGCTTAAAGGGTGGAGTGGACTAACTGTTAACGTGCATGTTTTTTTTACTTGTTTCAAATGATATTTCTCCATTTTGGCTGTTGCTGTTGGAAAAGCTTTTCAGTTCTGATCTGTTTAAAATTACACTGAATACCCTGGCTTAGAGACTCCAGTTCAACACTTTATATTCCTATATTCCGAGTCGTCTAATTCAAAATTTCAGCGAACAACAACATACACTTAATTCTGTTTGTTACAAAAGCTATTGCATGGCTTCAGAAGACTTGGAATACAGAACAGCAGGAGTCACATTTTGTCATTCTGAAGCTTGACAGCTGTCAATCATTGTTTACTGTCAGTATATTGAAAAGAATGGCTAAAATATCACCTAAAATCCACAAACTTCATAAAGTTTACAATAAAGTCATACAAATCTGGAGGTTTGGGTTGACATGAGGGTGAGTAAAGAATGACAATAATGTCATCTCTTTGACCTGTCAGTTGATTACTAAAGTGGCTCAATCCAGACACGTGTTGTGTAAACAAAGAATTCATATATTTGCAGATAAATATAAGAGACAAATTTATACAATTACAGAGCTATATATAGTATTAGGTATCACGGAAATAAAAGAGTTTAGTACAGGTTTGAATAAAATATTAATTTGGACAATTAAGATGTCCAACCTTAAATGAATGAATATCTCTTTATAATAAACAATAACACTCTATAAGACGGGTAAACCCCTTAAAAAGTGATTTCTAGAGATGATAATTGCAGTCCACTTAACAAACATGACTTTCACCGGATTAGCAGTTGTAACGAAGGCTAATTCAGGATAAACAAACACTGTCAACCAAACGAGAGTGTAAGTTAATAGTCCTTTAAACCGCATTGTAAAGCTGTTTATTCTCCTAGGTCATATAGAGACGGTTGGCCAGTGAGTGTCAACAGCTGATGTTTATTTACCTGCAGTAACTCGGAGAAGTGGCCGCGACGCGTCCCAACTTACAGCCAGACAATTCCGACTAAAGTAACTCGCATCACATCTTTATTCCCTTGATGTCGTCGCGATTAATGGATGTAACAGCCAAGTAGAGCCTCGGTCGCGGACATTCATTCACCTGTTGTGGCGTCGCAGACAGGCTGACTTAACAGCGCTTACCTGATCCGTCAGTTCACACACCATTAGCGCGACTGCGCCGTGTGGAGCTCGACCTCAGGCCACCTGCCTGCCACCTGCCGGCCACTGCTCTGAACTGCACCCAACCGAGCGCCATCACATCAACAAACACATGATGACTAGTTACAAATCTACTTGAATCACATATGCAATTAAAATGTAGCTCGTTCTTAATCATTTCAATTGGCTCAAATGTGTAAAAAAAGACTTTAAACGATTTGGCAAAATGTAATTTTACCGTGAAATACTGTCAAATTCAGTGCTTTGTAAGTAAAATCTCTGAATTACCATATAATCTTCACTTGAATGTTTGTTAAACGAGTTTAAATATAGGCAATATGTATGGCCTACGTATTAAAAACGATATAAAATATGCTGTAAATATGATAAGGAAAATAAAGGAAGTTATCATGCAAACCGGTGGCTGCATGAATAAGCAGCATTAGCTTTGGACCCATCAGACAGGCTTAACTTAATGATAGGAACCATGCAGAGGATGCATCTGGGAATTGTCTTTGCTTTAACATATACAGACAAAATCAGAGCATGCAGAACTGAGAGTGAGGAAAGGGAGGGTTCTGTTGCAGAATGCAACTGAAAAAGGAAGAAAGGTGACACTGGCACACTTTGCTGCATGGAAAGAGTAAAACCAGTGTGTGATTTAGGAAGAAAAATTAGTCCAGGGATATAAAGTGGAAGGAGCGTGAAAGCAATGGAGCAACTCGATAGGAACCATGCAGAGGATGCATCTGGGAATTGTCTTTGCTTTAACATATACAGACAAAATCAGAGCGTGCAGAACTGAGAGTGAGGAAAGGGAGGGTTCTGTTGCAGAATGCAACTGAAAAAGGAAGAAAGGTGACACTGGCACACTTTGCTGCATGGAAAGAGTAAAACCAGTGTGTGATTTAGGAAGAAAAATGAGTCCAGGGATATAAAGTGGAAGGAGCGTGAAAGCAATGGAGCAACTGTGGGCAGATATGTGAGACTGGAGTGATTAATGGTTCAGCTGCTAGAGGAGCCAGGGGCAGATCTACTCCCAATAAGGGCAGCTTGGCTGGGCCAGTGCAGGGCAATGTTCTCAAACAGTGAGAGAGCTATTCTATATCTCTAAATGTGATGAAACCAAAATCAATTGAACCACTAAAACCCCCTTTTTATCGCTCTCTCTCTCTCTCTCTCTCTGTTGTCTCTGCTCAACATGAAGAATTTGTTTTATTTATATAGGACACTAGGCACACAGGTTTCAGATTGACTGCTAATACACATATTCTCTCAGGTACAACAGGCTGTCTTTACCTCAGGGACACATGATCCCTTCTCTTATGCAAAGTATAGCTTACAAGACATGGATGGAAACAGGGCCAACTACTACCACAGTGAGAACAGTAATTTATGTATACTATTTCATTAGTTCACTATTTCATATTTTTTAGCATAAAAAGTTAATATACCATATAAAGGCAATTTTAACTTTAATATATTCACAACACTGAATATTATGATTAATTTTTTGTGGGCTTTGTTTAAATTTGAGTCTTTTCCCTTAGAAAAGATTAAAGTAGCAAAGACAGTTTTAGGCCTATAACACAATAGTGCTATACAATTAATAACGGAATGCATTATAGTTCTTAAAATGAAGAAATGAAACTTCTTTGTGCTTCTGCAGGGTCTTCGAGTTATTTCATAACTGAGCAAGGGGAAAAGGCCATTGTGAGGGGGTGGGGACAGCTGTCTCCCCATCTCGGGTGTTGTGATGTAGCTTCTTTCCTTTTAGAACCTGAAACCCCTATCAAGAAGTGCAGCTGTCCAATGAGGTTCAAGCATGTGCGAGCCCAGCAACCAATGGGCAGCAAACATCGAAGTATATAAACCAAGGTCTGACATCTTGCAAAGTTGGGCAACCCCTACATTGGCTTGGTGAACAGGATCTGATCCCAAGGACTGTTACATTTTCTCCCGTACAGGTAAACTCAAGGGAGGGAATAAGGGGTACTTCACAAACATGAAAAACTTCAGCAAAAAAGGGTGTAATACACTGTGGCTTTATGTGCGTTTGATCCAAAGTATTTCCCCATACAAATTAATCAAACCTCATTGGTGTTAATGACTGGATCCCTGATGCACAATATCAGGATTCTTATGGAATTACTCTTGATTGTTGGAGTATTAGAAATGCAGTTTGCATGAGTTTTATCATTTTAAAGCTGCTTTGCTCATGGTAGATCTGTAGAAAGCTTGTCATTGCCTGATAAGCGTCAAAGAGTCATAATGCATTGGAAAGCTAATAAGAGAGCAGTCTGGAGTAGATTTGCTGTCTATGGAAGGAATGATCTGTGTGCGTGACATCTGCTGTACTTTGGTGCAAGGTCATGTTATCTGGGGGAATTTATAGCTGATGTATTTTACTCATCTATTTATAATACTTCAGATATTGCATTTGTTTTGTATGCAACTGTGTGCCAAAAGCTGTGAATATGTGGACAAATAGATTAGTAATGATTTATTACTCCTAAACTGTAAGCATTTGATATTTCTAATATTTTGTTAATTCAATTTTGCAAAAGCTAAATTGGCGTGGACATAATACCAATTATGGGGTGAGTGTGCATTCTCCTCCCCCAGCAGAAATTAGAGAGGTGAATGTGCTATCTGATTTGAATGAAGGGAGTGAGTTTGGCAGCCATGCTAAAAATATCACCTGCTGTCTGATGCATATAAGCATGCGAGCTATTTTGTTACTAGGAGACTGAAGTTTACTTGGGACACAAAATATAGTATGCATTAACCTTGTCTGGAACTGCTGGCATCTTATTCTGGAAACTAGCGGTGCTTGTCCTTGACCGAACGCAAATGGGTAGTCGTTCATAATTCTCTATATCAATGGCAGCGATGAGGTACCTTGGTTTCCCTCTTTCCTGGGTCCAATGAGTAAGCTACACCTTAGTAGGCCTGAGGCAATGTTCCTGGTTGTCCACTCTGACAACAGCTCTGCAGACAAGATTTGCAGACTAATCTCCAAAGTCTCCAAAGTACACTGTAAATACTTTGCCAACTTGCCTTACTACTTGTCTTTCGGCAGATCTCCAGAAAAGTGCAATCATGACTAAGAACTGCAACAACGATTACAAGATGAAGTTCTCTCTGGAGGAGGAGTACCCTGACCTCTCCCAGCACAACAACCACATGGCCAAGGTCCTGACTAAGGACATCTACAACAAGCTCAGGAGCAAGTCAACCCCCAGTGGATTCACCCTGGATGACTGCATCCAGACTGGTGTGGACAACCCTGGTAAGTAGAACATGTTTGAATTCATTGTCCCATAGCAGCTAATCTTTCAAGAAACCACAAGCAATGTTTTAGTTGTTCTAGAAGATATATAAAGCACTACCTTTTGATCCCAATTCAAGGCCATCCCTTCATCATGACTGTCGGCTGTGTGGCTGGTGATGAGGAGTCCTACGAAGTCTTCAAGGAATTGTTTGACCCCATCATTTCTGACCGTCACGGTGGCTACAAGCCCACCGACAAGCACCAGACTGATCTGAACTGGGAGAACCTGAAGGTATGTTAAAGTTTTTTACATTATCATGGCTGTTTTACTCTACTGTGGCTGATGTTTACCTGTGCGCAGGGTGGTGATGACCTTGACCCCAACTACGTTCAGAGCAGCCGTGTGCGTACCGGCCGCAGCCTCAAGGGGTTCACCCTGCCTACCACCAACAGCCGTGGTGAGCGTAGAGCTGTGGAGAAGCTGTCCATTGAGGGTGAGTCTCATTAACGTTATGTCCTGACATCCACAAAGCAACATGCATGGTCTTATTGACGTTCACATTGTTCCTCTCACAGCTCTGAACAGCCTGGATGGCGAGTTCAAGGGCAAGTACTACCCCCTGAAAGACATGACTGATAAGGAACAGGAGCAGCTCATTGCTGACCACTTCCTGTTTGACAAGCCCGTGTCCCCCCTGCTGTTGGCTGCTGGCATGGCTCGCGACTGGCCTGACGCAAGAGGCATCTGGCACAATGACAACAAGACCTTCCTGGTGTGGGTGAATGAGGAGGATCACCTGCGTGTCATCTCCATGCAGAAGGGTGGCAACATGAAGGAAGTCTTCAAGAGGTTCTGCGTTGGCCTGCAGAAGGTAAACCCATTATTTACTACCTAATTATGCTGTACTTTTTAATCCTTTGGTCATCTAATGCGAAGATAAGCAACGAAGGCCTGACTCCTTGTTGTATATTGCAGATTGAGGACGTCTTCAAAAAGCACAACCATGGTTTCATGTGGAATGAGCATCTTGGTTTCATCCTGACCTGCCCCTCTAACTTGGGTACCGGCCTGCGCGGTGGTGTGCACGTCAAGCTGCCCAAACTCAGCACACATGCCAAATTTGAGGAGATCCTGACCAGATTGCGTCTTCAGAAGCGTGGCACAGGTGGGCTTGAAATCATTGAATGTATAAAATGGCAGAGAGTTACACTGTGATCATCATTTTGAGACTCTTTGTACTTCTATTATACAGGTGGTGTGGACACTGCCTCTGTCGGCGGTGTGTTCGACATCTCCAACGCTGACCGTCTGGGCTCCTCCGAGGTGCTGCAAGTACAGCTGGTGGTTGATGGTGTGAAGCTCATGGTTGAAATGGAAAAGAAGCTGGAGAAGGGCGAGTCCATTGATGACATGATCCCTGCCCAGAAGTAAAATGGCAAAAGTGCTTTTCTTTTTTATTTGTTCTTTCATGCAGTCATGCCATCTTAACTTTTCCAAGAGACACTCCACCCCGCTACCTTTTTTTCCTACTTTTTTCTCTTTCCTTTTGTCTTCCTTAGCTATGTTGTATTCACCTTAACTTTTTTTTTTGTACAAAGTTAATAAACAGCCCCATGTAACAATCACTCTGTGTTTTAAGTCTTTATATTCTTGACAAGTCTTGATTTGTACCTCCAGACACAGCTGTTAACTTAATGTACAGTATCTCACAGAAGTGAGTACACCCCTCACATTTTGCCTACTCAACCTGCATCACTGGCAAGTTTGACAACCAAGTAAGATCATTCAAAAATTGCTATAATAATTACAAAAGAAATTGCTATAATTTTCAGCATTTGCATTGTCAGCGGCTCTGCATGTTGTCTACGGTATGAAATAGTGTGGCGTTCATACGTGTTTTTTGTGAATATGGCTATTTAAACAAGGATAAAATAAAACATACTCTTCTCGCTGGCAAAGTGGAAGAATAGAAATCAAAAAATGAGTTAAATAGCAGCAGTTAAAAAGGAATGACAATGTACAGAGTGAACACGTCACAAAAAAATGGGTGTTAAAAAAACATGGCTAAGATACCAGGTAAAATCAGTGGTAAAACAGACCTGGTAAAGGGAGTTCCTTCAGCAGGGCTTTTGTGTGAGCAGGTGCCCAGTTCTCAATTTATGTGTGCCAGTCTTTGTAGGCTTAGAGGGGGCGGGGGTGTGGGCGGGGCTACGTCCACTCATCCCATCTTTCTGTCCAATGCTTTTGTCCCTGCCCTCCACCCCCTGTTTCCCTCAGAGTTCGATATCTTTGGACACGTTGGTGGCAATGTCCCGAAAGGCAAGCGGTGCCCCCCACAGGCGTTTAAATCGAACACCGCTGGTATTGGCGGGGCCGTTGGGCAGCTGACACACCTCTGCTTCGAAGGCAACTCGGGAGCCAGCAGCTCCGTGGGTGCAGGAGAGGAGGAAGGGCCCGGCCTGGTGGACCTGGCAACCGCAGCCCTGCGCTGCCTCCCGCAGAGCCAAAACCACCTCAGCCGGGTCCCGCGGGCTCCGCACCTTCACATCCCAGCCGCATCGGGGGGTCCGGGGCTCTGTCGCTTTTTGATACCCAGATAGATAGCGACTGTGGAGGGAGGAGGAGGTGAAATGAGGAAGAAATGGAGGGTGGGCGATGACGTAAATGAGCGGAAGGGGGATGGAGGGGGGACAAGAGAGAAATATATTAAAAATATGCAAGAACAAAAATCCAGACTTAAGTCTAGAAGTCTGTGACATTATTTAAATAAATTGATCAGCAGTAAATAGAAAGGTAATACTTTATATTAAAGTTCCATTTGTTAACATTAGGTAGAGCATTGGGTAACATTAATAAGAAACAACTTTTTGATAGTTTATGATACGTAATGTATTTCATGTTTATGTGAACTTTGCGGTAAAGTGTTACCAACAAAATCATCCTAAATAGTTTGAAATAAACATCCTAAAAAAAGTCTGAAAACCCTTCTACAATCAAAAGAGAGAGGAAATGTTTAGATAAACACTAAAACCTGTTACCTTTCAGGAGACACTGGAGTTCTTCAGGATAATAAAACCATTTTCAAAAACAGTTACAATCTGAGCATTATTTAAATTCAGTGTGACTATCAGAAAAAGCTGTAGAACATTTTGGAAGGCCTGAATAAAATGCCATTAATTTTTTTTTTTAAATGTCAAGAAATACACTACCATTTAAAAATGTTGGGTCTGTTATATTTCTGAATGTTTTTGAAAGAAGTCTCACCAAGGCTGCACGTATTTGATCAAAAACATAGTAATATTCTGAAATATTATTACAATTTACATATTCATTTTCTTTTTTCAAATACATTTTAAAATGTGATTTATTCCTGTGATGACAAAGCAGAATTTTCAGCAGCCATTACTCCAGTCTTCTTGCTACTGCATTTTTCACTAGAAACCTGGAAACTTTCACTAGGCACACAGTATTCCTTGGACCAAGCTAAATGTCATTCCCTTGAATGAGTAAAAGGTGAGAGAAATGCATGAATTAATGCATGAAAAGGCTGATACATGGACGGTGCTATGGTGTAAAAGACCCCTTGAGCATCAAACACAAATACAGAACTTTTTTTAAATATTAAATCTTATTAAATATCCACAATAATGTATTTTTACAAAATGCACTAGCAATAATCAAAATAGTGTGGTTCTGTCAAAACTGAAATCATTTACTCACCCTGTCATTTCAAACATGTATAATTCTTTTCTTCTTATCACAAGCAAAATATTTTGCATAATACACAAATTGACTGTCATGCTGTGGAAATGACAAATTAAGTAGTGTAAAACTGGTCCAAATGACTTGTACGTAGGGTTGGGATTCTGATTCTGATTCTGCTTAACGATTCCTTGTTTCGATTCCAATAAGATCAAAAAATCTAAAATTAAAAAAAAAAAAAAAAAGTCAAACATATTTATTCTGTCTTTTCACAAAGTGTTCTGTTGCAGCTGAATAACATGAGCAAAAATCAGCAGCCCACAGAACCCTTAGGCCTAAAAGAGGAACATTTGCCTATGGTTTCAGCAAAAATACCACAGCAAAAACAACTAGACTAACATAAATTTCAAACATTAAATTGTTAAAGTACACAGTCAGTAATAAAATAGGAACAAACAATTCAATTATTAATAGTGTTATGTTGCTATAAATGTTGAAGGACTTTTGTTAATGTCATGATGTTTAGCAATGTTCATTTTAGCAATAACTGGTTATAGCTGTTAGTCTCTGTTCACTTTAAGGGGCGGGGATAGTCCGGCGCGGGTGGAGGACGGACTAAAGAGAGTTCAGACCTCAGAGTTAGTTGGGAGAGTGAGAGCACAGAGCAGCGAGTGCTATTCTTCCTTGTTTTTCTTCTGTTTCCTTCTGTGTACGGCGTGGGTTACGGCCATAACAGTTACCCCCTTCAGTGCTTTAAAGGGGTCATATGATGCTTTTTTAAAGATCATTATTTTGCTTGTAACACTCCAAAGAGAAAGGAAAACTTGAAATCGCATCATATGACCCCTTTAATAAAGTTACAGAATGACTGAGAACTCATGTAGAGACAGCAGCCTAATAAACGTGGTGCTTGTCATTTATATTCACTAATTTACTAAATTCACTAAATATCTGTCGTAACTTTAATGAGGATTAATCTACATTTTATTTATCAAAAGTAAACTATGCAGTGTTTTGAAACTTTTGATTTCAATTTCTGTAGGCCTACCTGAAATTTGTTCAGCTGTATTTATTTATGATATTGTAGCATTCCGCTACTAATGAAACCAGGTGTTTTCTTTCTCACCTGTTTACGTTCACTTAAGACAAAAAAACGGCTGTATTTACAAGGATATTCTGACGTAATTTTGTACATATTGGTTGCAAGATGTGAAAGAAGCCATTTCCAGCCCGGAACTAAATTTTTTGCAGTGTAAATAATGCACGGAACGGTTGGAGAACGAACACAGAGAACCGCAGCCGGGTTCCCCTTGCTCGCGCTTCAGATGTGTGCCGTGCATGCAAAACAGTGCGTAAAGTTCTTTTCTGTGCTTAAATCGTTTAAAATCACATTAAAAAGCGAAAGCGGGAATCGAAATGATCGAATACCCAGTTATGGGAAATTTGGAACCGGTTGTAAAATGGAACCGGAATGGAATTGCAAGAAGTCTTCTCCTTGCAGTTGCTCTAAAAACTTGCTGATTCATACATGTTGTGGCAAGACCTGGCATGACACGTCTTGATGTACCATATCTGAAAATATATTTAAAAAATGTTTTTGCAATAAAGCAGACTAACAGCTTAGACAAAAGCAAATACTATCGATTAACAACCTTGTAGCTCACAGTAGGTCTGTCTTTAAAAGTTTAGAAGTTATTGTTCAAAATCAATTTCCCTAATGTGAAAATGAATGGAATTTTAACTTTCGGAACCCAGCTGCATTCTACATAGCATACGATACATGGTCTTTGGAGCTTGACAGCTCTCAAAACTCCACAGAAGAAAGAATACCATACAGGTTTGGAATGACATGACGGTGAGTATGATGACTATCCAAAATTTATATTTTTGGATGAATTGTTCCTTTAAAAAGCAAATAAATATATGTGTACAAGCTCAAGGAGGTGTTCTGACACTCAGCGCCAACACAGGTGCCAAAGAGAGCGGTGAGACTGTGAGTATTTGGACAGACTGAGAGATGGCAAAAAGTCCACAAACAGGAAGAAAACTTACTAACTGTTTTTGATCCCTGTGGCAGAGTGCAGCCCGAGACTGACTTGTTTGAGTTCTGGCGCTTAGAGGGGTCAAGATTGACCCTAAGAGTTGATGAAGGGAAGGAAAAAGGACAGTGAAGAGAAGGACAGTTTGGTAGACAGAAAGAAGGAGGGGAACAGGAAGATCGAGAGAGAAATAAGATTGCAGCAAGGAAAAAAAGCAAAGAAACAAATAAACAAAACAGAAACACAGAGCACCCAACAATAGCCAAGAACAAGAGATAGAGGGACACGAGGGGGAGCAGGTGCCTGAAGCTGTCGGTTAATAACAGAGGAGGCTTGAGGAAGAGTTAATGCAAAGAGTACATATGCAAACTTATACGGAAAAGGACTTTATCCATTGGATGTCACCCTAGGTAGGTTAATCTAATCGGGAAGTTTCTTTAAGAGATAGAAAGGTTGCTCTAATCTAATAAAGAGCTTCTAGATGCATACCCCTGCAAAAGTCATTCTTTCTGGCTTACAGCCCAGAGGCACATAAACAATTTCACTGAGAATGCGGAAGAGCAAAGCGCCCCATCAGCGTTTCTACATGCTACTGAACATCTCAATTACATTACAGACTCCAAAAGCTCCCATATCTAACTCCATTACCTCCTCAGATTGCACAGGACAATGGGCACCAAACCAAATGAAAGATGACTTTGTAAACTGATTGGCTTCAGCAGTGGAGCCTATGTTATTTTGATATTATGCAGCTAATAGGCCGATCACATCAAAGACGATAACTATAATGATAACTATAACTATAAAGTTAAATATAAATTCCTTCTTTTTTTCTGAGAGAATAGGGAAATACAGAGGAACAATATCCTTGGAATCAATTTCAGAAAGTTTTTTCTTCCAGCTGATGAACGATATAAACACTGACAGCCAATGAGAATCCACCCAAATTAAAGATTTAAAATATTTAAAATATTATTTAAATATTAAAGATTTAAAATATTTTTTATAGTTATCATTTATTGGTGTGGTCTCTTACATAGCTATTTTTATAGTTATCGTCTGTTAGTGCAGACAATAATATAGTTATCTTTATAGTTACCGTTCTTGAGGTGAATGCAAATCTAGTTATCATAAAAGTTATATTTTTAGTTATTGTGGACAATAATATAGTGATTGTTATAGTTATCGTCTGTTGTTGTGGACGTTAACATACAGTAGTTATTGTTAAAGTTGTGTTTATAGTTATAGTTCCTTGGTGCGGATGATAATGTAGTTGTCTTTATAGTTAGCGTCCATTGGTTGGATATATATAAAATGAATATAATTATTGTTGTAGGTATATTTATAGTTACCGGCCGTTGGTGCGGACACAAATATCGTTATTTTTACAGTTATTTTTATAATCATTGTTCTTGGGGTGGATGGTAATATAGTTATTGTTATACTTATAGTTAGCATCCACTGGTGTGGATGTTAACGTTTATTATTATTATAGTTATTCTCTGGTGTGAACAGGCCTTAAATGTCCTCAGATAGCACCATGCTAACTCTAAAAAGCAGAATATTTGGAAAGAGCGAACTGATTATATGGAACTTGATTTTATTTGGATCTATTTTTATCTATAATATTCAAAAGTTTACTCTCTTAAAGTCATTCTGGTTTACAAGAATCTGTCGTTCTCTTCTTACCTGCGGGTAAGTTTTGAGGTCAGTTTAGAGAACAGGTTTGTGGTGGCACGGCTACGGGAGTGTGGCAGAGGGCTGGCTTCGTGAGAGAGGGTGGGTGAGGTGGGGGGTGCGTGGGTGGGAGGCCGGTGGTCCCGGAGCTGGCCCCCGTGGAAGGTGCTGCGGATGGTGGAGCCCCTAGTCAACCGAGAACGCTCGGAAGATGTGGAGCTGGAGGCACCAGCCCCGGAGATGCTGTGGGTGGACGGGGAGGCTGGAGGTAAACGATGTGACAAAGAGCTGAGGAAAGAGACAAGAAAACATGGATGGAAATTAAATTCCCCCTAAACTGAAGTTGTGTGTAACTCGTCCAGCATTGCTTTTGCTATGGACATGAATGATACCCACCCAGAACAATCATTATAGGATTCTAACAACCACCCAGAACATTATGGTAGCAAGTTTTGCACAGGCAAAAATGCATGTGAAAATGCAAAAATCTAGCTTTAATTAGCAGTTATCATGGATATAACTGGAGGCTACTTTGGTAACAGAACTCAATCCATAATACAAAGTCCAAAACGAAACACAGTAACAGCTCTGTGGCGATACGATTAAACCAATATCAGATCTCGAAGCTCAGAAAGGCAGCTCTGGCTGGGTTTAGTTGAGCGTAAATGTGAGGCAGGATGCTGAGTCACTGAGGCATGAGCTCTCTTGTGTTCTTATTCCCATCTCAGAAACAGCCACTTAAGGCAAATTAAAACTGAACCCTTAGCGGAAAAAAGCTTGCACACGACTGCACATCTGAATGCTGTCGTAGAGATACGCAGAGAATGGTGAAGGCGTGAGAAATCTCTTTATTATCTGTTTATTAAACTAATCCGAACCAGGGAAACAGGAGAGAAAGTCATAGGACAAAGAGAGAAAAGGAGAGTAAGAAGAAAAATGATGATCCACTACTCACATGGTACTGGCATTACTAAGGTGTTCATAGTGGTGGTGGTGGGGGGGTTGTGTTTGCGGAACGATGTATGTTAAAAGCACACGTCCAGTTTTGTGTGAATGAACTACATCCGCTTGGGAGTGGAGAGATTCGTCCTCGCGCACATGGATCGCGTAACATTATGCGCTCTCAACATTGTCATTAAGATCACACTATAGAGACCGCCTAAAATGAGAAATTTACTAAAAACAAGCCTATGGCAAGACATCTGGGGGGGGGCACCTGGGGTGGCCAGCCAAATTTCCTGGGGGGCCGGTGCCACCACTGGCCACCACGTAGACACGCCCCTGGTAGTTAAGGGTGTTGTTACTAAGGACCCCTTGAACACTTTTGGAATCGCTTAGACAAGCAGTAGCACACCTCTCCTCTTGAATAGGAATAGTGATGCTGTCCATAGTAACTAGCACTACTAATGTCTCAGTTCAGATGGGTTCACGTCACAGACGAGCAGCTCTTGGCAACGGACTGCCTCTGTCCCCTCCGTCTCGCTCAGTTTTGGCAGAAATCTAACAGATCTCACATGCTGCCTCAGTCTGCCCACTGGCCCGGGGCCACTTCACTTAACGCTCTAAATAACCCTGCGCTGATGGACCTTACACACGCGCACACACACACACACAGGATTTCCTATAACAGAGTTTCACATATTAGCTTCTATTGGTCGGAAACACTGCAGTCATTAATAGCAGTTCTGGGCAGAAAATTTGTGTGATGAAGGGTTTGAAATAGCTTGGCTGGGTTGAATGTATTCAGTGTTTATATGGGGTCCAATAAATTTGAGACTAGTCTGGGATTTAACATCTCAGAATTTAGGTTTGATGATTTTAAACAGTAAAATTAACAAATTCTATTGAAATATTCTACATTATTTCAAATCAATTATGCAAATCTGTGACTTATTAATATTAATTGTAAAATATAAATATCATTAAAATCATTACCCTGATAATACTATTTGCAATCAAAAAAACATTGCATTAAATTATAAAAATCATTTCAGATTTCCTCTCAGATTTCACTGTGTATTTGTCACATTCTGGTGACAATGATTCTGCGTGTGTGGACACGTGTGCTGTACTAGCTGGGCTCGGGGGAGGGAGGCTTCTTTAGGTCTACCAGTCAAGCAGCCTTGTGACCCAGACAATCCACGTGCCTCCTCTCGTTCTCTTTAAGTCACATGACACCCAGTCTTTGGGCCTCCCCCGAAGAGGAGGAAAGAGAGAGAGGAGGGTGATAGAAGGACAGCTAAGCAGTCACCATCTGCCACTGCTGAAGCATAACAGACCAAATCCATCTCAATAAACAAGCACACAGAAAAAAATATTTTCGGCATCAGCATGTACATCAATTCTGAAACTTCAATGCATATATACAAAAATAAAATACAGAGACACGTTTTACCTGTTCTCTTTCCCATTCTGTAGTAAGGTGTGTCTGTCAGTGCTTGTACGGTCCGTACATACATAAGTGTTCCTACGGGTCATGGTACTGGCAGGGATGTTGTTCTAAAGCATGAAACAGGAAGCAGGTATTGAAAACCAAAAACAATGGATTTTACACAGATATACTATTGCAGCTATCCAAATATGACGTGCTTTTCTGACACAACTGTCCTCAGAAATTCATGCCTGCATGGAAACATCACTTTATGATCAGAGAATGCTGATAACGAATGTGAACATGTGCCATTATATCCCGGGGAATAATTGTTGTTATTGATGTATTTGGTGTACAGGAAGTTATGTGACATTTTAATGGACGGCACTTGAACTGTCATTAGCATAATCATCATCATTTTACTTGTCTTTGGAAACTTTTTTTCTTCTTCTGTGGAACACAAAATAAGTTATTTATAACAGAATATCCAGCTTCCCTTTTTCACAGAGTGAAAGTAAACAGTGACCACGGCTGTAAGTAAGGTTGACTGCTTATATTTCAGTTGCTTCCTTGCATAAATCTATCATATGGCTTCAAAAGACTTGGAATATAGTGCACAGACCCTAAGACCGAATTTGTGAACAATTGTGAAAAATCTCCTGAACAATTAATATTTTAATTGATATTTCCTGCAACAGGATGTATATGATTTCCTGTGCTTGATTACCGTTGTTGCATTGATGTCTTTGCGGCGGTCAGGGATCTCAGCTTTGTTGGGGTTGTTGGCTGTGCTGACCATGGGGCTCGACGGGGGGATGCTACGACTGCCCACCACACTGCAGCTGGCCTTCCTCGAGGGCAGACGCTCCTCTTTTAGTTCCCCATCTCCTGTACTGGTGGGGCTGCGTTTGGGGTGGGTTACTGGCACTGATGGCCCACCTGACAAACATTATAAATAATGACAATTATAAATTATGTTAACAACAACAACAACAACAATAATAAAATGTGTTGCTATTAATGATTATTATTATTACTGATAATAATAATAATTATTATTTTAACCTATAATTATAATTAAGCTATAAATAATATCAAACTATAAAAATGAAATGATCCATGAGGGGTGTTGGGACTCACAGAAGTCGCTGTGCCTCCTCTGGCGGTGGTAGGTGGAGGCACTGCGCTGGGGTTTAGTGTGACTGGAGGCAGAGGTGGAGCTGGATGAGGAGGTGGAGGAGTGTTTGCTGGTGCCATTAGTGATGGGACTGGGCCGCACCCGTGCTAGAGACAAACTGCTGCTCGACCGGGACTCTACGCCATCCTATATGGTAAACATATACTGTAAGATATTACACACTTATAGGATAATGCACAGGCTGTTCTCAGGTCAGCGGCAATCCCTATCTCACCTCATTCTTGCGGCCTAGCAGCAGATACATGGCAAATATCTCATTGTACTTCTGTGTGCTCAAGGCATCTTTGATTTCATCACGGGAGTAACCCATTCCTACCATCACATCTGTATGACCAGAGAGAGAGCAAAAACAATTAAAGCAAATAAGCAAGTAGTCATTTAGCAAACAATTTTAACCAAATTTAAGCAATCTGGTTTTAAGTGCCTTGCTAGCAAGGTTTGAAACACAACCTTCTTGTTACTACAACGCAAAAAATTATTTATCGTTATCTTTTTTTTCTCAGTAATCTGTCTTGTTATATATAAGAAAAAATATATACATCTTAAAAACAAGATACATTTTACTTTGATAAGTAAAATTGTGAAAGGTAAGCTTTTCTTCACAGAATATACACTAATGATTTTATTAAAGAAATTAATACTTTTATTGAGCAAGCATGCATTAAATTGATCAAAAAGCTTTTACATTGTTACAAAAGATTTCCTAGAATGATTTCTGAAAGATCATGTGACACTCAAGACTGGAATAATGACTGCTGAAAATTTAGCTTTGCATCACAAGAATAAATTATATTTTTGAAATATATTAAAATAGAAAACAGTTATTTTAAATTGTAATAATATTTCACAATATTACTGTTTTGACTATTGTTTTAATCAAATAAATGCAGACTACGTAAGCATAAGAGACTACTTTCAAAAACACCGAAAAACTGTATTTACACCATACGTTTTGCATGGTTTTTATTTTTCTTACTTCATTTGCAAATTGTTTTAATCATATATCTAGAGAAATAAAATGTTGGCAATGGGGTAAAAAATTATACAAAAATGTAAATGTATTACTTAAATATTATAAAAAATATGTATTAAAAAAGCATAAATGTGCAAGATACATCTTGTTATGAATATGTTTATATACAGGAAAGCCCCCAAATTTTTTTTAAGAAAATTACTTTCTAAAAAAATCATGTAAAAGGGCCAAAAGGGGAAGTGGTGGCAGGATTTCTTACCTATACGGCTGCTGTCATTATAATCCTCCACAGGCTCTACATGAGGCTTCAGGTCGTCGTTTTCGTACCCGACATTCATCCACTTATCCTTCATGATTTGCTGAAAGGGAAGAACAGAAAGTCAGATAGAGTGAGCAAAGGCCCGCAAGATCCATGCAAACAATAAGACGTATTATCAACTGTGATGGTCGATTGCCGGTCACAGTTGCTCCTCCTCACCTCCAGGGTGCAGCGCTTGGTGGGGTTGAGCACAAGGAACCGGCGCAGGATGCTCTCACAGTCAGTAGACATGTAGAATGGCACACGGTATTTCCCCCTCAACACACGCTCACGCAGCTCCTGAGGGAAAAACACAGACTTCTATTCAACACATAACCTAATTCTGAACCCGTCAGCCACCGAATCGCCCCCACGGCACAAAGAAACAATCACAGCTCACTTGACCTACATTACTTGAGAGCAAAGCATTTCATAAGAGCAACTGCTGCACGTGTGCTGCCTTAGAAAATGTCTCAAATTGTTGTCATATGACTGTTCAGAATGACACAAGATTTTACATTGAATATTAGTTGTGACTCAACATATTAAAAAGTTTGCAACAAAAGTAAACAAAAATGTCCTTAAAATGAAAGTTGAATGTTTCTATCAATAAACACAATGTGGCATTTATTTAACGTAGACGTAATTTATTTTATCTTCAATAGATGAATTTCACTGTTTTCGAGAATGAGAAAAATATAATATATGCAACAAATAAATAAACAATTTTATTGACCAGAGCTATCATAGTGCTCACAAACAATAGAAATATATAAATCTTGCATAATAACAGGACATTACATATTTTTATTTATTATAATTGCTGATATTGGATATATATTGGCTGATATTATACATTTAAATGTGAGCATTTTCATTATTTTTTACATGTGGATTGCTTTTGCTATCATTTAATAGTCACTTAATATATAAAAAAATGTAATAACACAAATGTAAATGCAATTTTAAGCAAATCTCAAAATGAAAATCTATTTTTCATACTGTACATTATAATGCTGTAATATTAAATTCACTTGTAGCATTAAAAATGATTGATTTTAGTTTAGTTTGTGCTTTATTTTAATTAATATACAAAAACTAGTGCAGAATGTTAATGGCAACCATTTATCAATTATCGCCCCATAATATAAAAATAATTATTAGCTTAGGTCTATCAGGGGGAATTTTAATATCAGTGCATTCCAACCTACCACTGGAAAAAATATTAAAATTAAAACATATCTAGATAAACATGGTTGTTGGATGACTTTTTGACATACTCATACATCGCTCTACTCTTTTTCAAGGCCTTTCTTTCGTTTCTTATACTAAGTTGAGTAATTTACCTTGAGGTTTTGTCCATCAAAGGGCAGTGATCCGCTGACCAGCGTGTACAGTATAACTCCCAGACTCCAGATGTCCACCTCTGGCCCATCATACTTCTTCCCCTGAAAGAGCTCTGGGGCGGCGTAAGGGGGGCTGCCGCAGAACGTGTCCAGTTTACTGCCCAGCGTAAATTCATTACTGAAGCCAAAGTCAGCAATCTTGATGTTGGAGTCTGCATCAAGCAGGAGGTTTTCCGCCTGGGTGAGGTATAAGATAGGATATATAACCATGAGCAGGAATTTAATAGCTTTGCGCTTTGGGGTTATTTTAAAAGGGAGCAAAGTGTGTAATGATAAAGCAGTTTACTGTTTTATCATTACACAGTTTACTGACATAATATGTCATGTGAAAGAACAATAACCTTCAGGTCCCTGTGAACAATTTTCTTCTGATGACAGTAATAAACCGCAGACACGATCTGAAAGAGAAACACAGACAACGACATCTCTGAAACAGGAAACAGGAATAAAACAGGGTAATAGGAATAAAAATGTATAGCATGTTTAACACATTAAAAACAGAAAATACAGCGTGGTTTTGCTCCTTTTAGATTTTTATTTCATCAAAGGTGAACAAGTTTCAAGTTGCACTGATTATGATATGTCTTACCTGCCGGAATTTAGCACGCGCCTCCTTTTCCTTCATTCTCCCGTGGGATACGAGGTAGTCAAATACTTCACCTACCATAGAAGAAAAATTTGAGTACGCTTAAAAATAATAATAATATTTTGCAAAATTTAATTCAAATTTAATTGTTTTTTAAAAACAAACCAATTAAAATTTTTTCAAGGAAATAGTTGAAATAAGATAATAATTATCTATTTTAATTTATTTGGTCGATAACTGATACTACGAAGGGCGAAATACACTGAACAAAATTCTAAACGCAACACTTTTTTTGCCCCCATTTTTCATGAGCTGAACTCAAAGATCTAAGACTTTTTCTATGTACACAAAAGGCCTATTTCTCTCAAATATTGTTCACAAATCTGTCTAAATCTGTGTTAGTGAGCACTTATCCTTTGCCGAGATAATCCATCCACCTCACAGGTGTGGCATATCAACATGCTGATTAGACAGCATGATTATTGCACAGGTGTGCCTTAGGCTGGCCACAATAAAAGACCATCTCTAAAATGTGCAGTTTTACTGTATTGGGGGGTCCGGGCGGGTCCGAAAACCAGTCAGTATCTGGTGTGACCACCATTTGCCTCACGCAGTGCAACACATCTCCTTCGCATAGAGTTGATCAGGTTGTTGATTGTGGCCTGTGGAATGTTGGTCCACTCCTCTTCAATGGCTGTGAGAAGTTGCTGGATATTGGCAGGAACTGGAACACGCTGTCGTATACGCCGATCCAGAGCATCCCAAACATGCTCAATGGTTGACATGTCCGGTGAGTATGCTGGCTATACAAGAACTGGGATGTTTTCAGCTTCCAGGAATTGTGTACAGATCCTTGCAACACGTGAAGAGAACACCTGTCCAAAGTGCCAGACGCCATCGGATGTGAGCATTTGCCGACTCAAGTCGATTACGACAACGAACTGCAGTCAGGTCGAGACCCCGATGAGGACGACGAGCATGCAGATGAGCTTTCCTAAGACGGTTTCTGACAGTTTGTGCAGAAATTCTTTGGTTATGCAAACCGATTGTTGCAGCAGCTGTCCGGGTGGCTGGTCTCCGATGATCTTGGAGGTGAAGATGCTGGATGTGGAGGTCCTGGGCTGGTGTGGTTACACGTGGTCTGCGGTTGTGAGGCCGGTTGGATGTACTGCCAAATTCTCTGAAACGCCTTTGGAGACGGCTTATGGTAGAGAAATGAACATTCAATTCACGAGCAACAGCTCTGGTGGACATTCCTGCAGTCAGCATGCCAATTGCACGCTCCCTCAAAACTTGCGACATCTGTGGCATTGTGCTGTGTGATAAAACTGCACATTTTAGAGGGGCCTTTTATTGTGGCCAGCCTAAGGCACACCTGTGCAATAATAATGCTGTCTAATCAGCGTCTTGATATGCCACACCTGTGAGGTGGATGGATTATCTCGGCAAAGGAGAAGTGCTCACTAACACAGATTTAGACAGGGGGCAAAATCAAAAGTGTTGCTTTTATAATTTTGTTCAGTGTATATACTATAGAATATTTCAACTGCTTGATCTGTAGCATCATTACAAAATGTAAACTATATTATCACCCAGCTCTGATCTGCTAAATGCAACTATAACACATGAAGATATTAAAATACCATAAACATTAACATCATGAATTTCCATAAAGCTGCTTTGAAACAATGTGCATTATGAAAAGCGCTATACAAATAAATTTGTCTAAATTCCTCTTGATAAACAGCCGATATTAAAATTCTACACTACAGTCTAAAATTAGATTTTAAAAAACTGAAAAATACAAATCAAAGTGAATCAAATGGAATTAGGCATCACAAGATTATAATGTACAATATGAAAAATTTATATTTATTTTGAGATTTGCTAAAAATGTAAAAATTATTAATATTATTTTAGAAATTTAAGTGAGTAAATTATTTAAACAATTTATTGCTCATAGGAAATTCTCTAATATTGTTCAACAATCCATATGGTACAAATATATATCACATTCCTACATAAAACTACATTGAGTAAAGATTCCAATAAGCACGGATGGGTAATGGAGGTCTATATAACTCTAATATAACTCATCTAGTTATGGACAATCGATTGGGAATTTCCTGATTAATGAAGTTAGCTACTTAATACCCAATGACTGGATGCAATATTTTACAGAATGAGCTCAAGAGCACCTCAGTCGTGGTATTGAAGGTGGGAGAGAGCGCTGTACATTCACTCCCCCCACCTACAATCCCTGCCGGTACGAGACTCGAACCCGCAACCTTTGGGTTACGAGTCGCAGTACATTCCCTCCCCCCACCTACAATCCCTGCCGGTACGAGACTCGAACCCGCAACCTTTGGGTTACGAGTCCGACCCTCTAACCATTAGGCCACAACTTCCCCACACATGGTAGCGCTGTACGCATGCCTGTCTGTACTCTTGCACGTGCATCAGCCTCATCAGATAGATTAGGAGTGGAAACGTGTGATTCATTAAGAGAGCAGCCAATTGAAGGACGGGCTAAAGTTAAATTAAGCCTGATTTGACTATGAGCATCTTTACTAGCAGCAAATCACTATAATTGCTGAGCTGTGTTGGCCCAGCTTCAGTGAATGCACATGAAACCTATAATTGGTAGCGCTGTACGCATGCCTGTCTGTACTCTTGCACGTGCATCAGCCTCATCAGATAGATTAGGAGTGGAAACGTGTGATTCATTAAGAGAGCAGCCAATTGAAGGACGGGCTAAAGTTAAATTAAGCCTGATTTGACTATGAGCATCTTTACTAGCGGCAAATCACTATAATTGCTGAGCTGTGTTGGCCCAGCTTCAGTGAATGCACATGAAACCTATAGAAGGACGAAGGAAGGGAAAGATAAGAAGAGAGATAAAGGACGAAGCCTGTGCAGCTCTGCTCATTGATGTGACAGTCACACACATGCATGTTTACGAGTGAGCGTGTACAAAGACTGGAGACAGGTGTGATTATTCATGTCGAAAGTTATGTTAAAAGCTAGACAGTACATTTGGTATTAATGAGAAGGAGACAAAAGCAGAAACATAATTTGTTCATTTTCAACAAAGTAATTTGCTACATTGAAGTAACTTTTTCTTTTTCTAGTGCATTAAAGTGTAGGACGCATGTATGTATGTTGAAGTGGGGAGGAATCGTACCACCACTGGCATATTCCATCACAAGGTAAAGCGTCTTCTCCGTCTCGATCACTTCAAAGAGCTGAACTGTAGATATAAGAAAAAATTCACAATCAGAAGATAATTTTACCATGTGCAAAAAAGTAATAAGTAAACCGAGCAATAGAGAATATGTGCCGGTTGTTGACTCCAAGGAAATCTTCAGCCAAAAATGAAAATTCACTCAATAATTGACCCAATAATTAAAAACATTTTTCACTGAAAATGTTTTCCTCAACGTAGCTCTCAAATCTCATTCGCACTGACATGACACACCATATTTTACCACTTTTTGTTTTGTTTTGTAATTTTTGAACAGTCCAACATGAAGTTCAACATTTATTGAAACAAAGCTGACATAAAATAAAATATAAACATTAGATGAAAAACTTAGAAATGCTGCCTTGGCAACTAACTGTAATAAAATAAGTTGAAGTACTAAAATGACTAAAAACCTAAATAAAATAAACTAAAACTAAATAAAAATATTTAGAAAAAAATCATAAAAGTGACTAAACCACATAACAAAATTACTAACTAAAATAAAAATAAAAATGGAAGACAAAAATAAAAGTCAATTAAAAATATTAATAAATTGTATATAAGAGTATATTAATAATACTAATACAACATTGCTATAGATGCAGATAATATAAACTGAAGGAATTTTAGAGGTGGTCAGTGTGCTTTGAGAGGCCTCAGATGTTGACATTTTGGCAAAGTAAACGTTCACGCAAAAGCATCTAAAATACTCACCTATGTTTGGGTGATTGAGGCCCTTCATGATCCGGACCTCTCGAAAGAGCTGAGGAGAAATAAAGAGAGAAAGTAATTAGTAAAATTAGATAAAAACTTCTGTTTATACAACAACAACATGGAAATATTCATAATATATAATTAAAAATGAATATACTATAATTAAATCTTAATATAATTAGAAATTAAATAGCCTACAATTAACTATTACATACAATACATATAATTAATATTTACTTTTAAATAATAATTATAATTACTTTATACCCAAATGCTGATAATATAATTTGATAATACAATCAAAACATTTTCACTAGTGGTCTCAGACTTTCAGATCTTCTTTTCAGTCATGTTTAGTGGTTGATAAAATCATCTCTGTCAGAAACGTTTCAATGATTACATCAATAAAACATCAGAATCCACAATGACCCTGCAGAGACTGATGGATGGGGATTCATGCAAATCCATAAATAGCATTTAGACCGAATCCCACGATAAATACAAAACAGCTCTCACTCTCTGACACAACCCATGGTGCCGCCTGCTCAGCCTGTCCTTTCTAACGGCAGTTAAATTGAACGGAAAAGGGATCAAGCCAAAAAAAGACCCATCTTGTGACCAATCTTTCATTCCGTTGTCTAGGACATCAGAGCTATGCTGTAGTTTGTCTGCTGCTGAGAATCACGGTCTTGTGGTACAAAGCTGAATCGCTGTTACACACAAAGTATCCTTCGAATTGACGACAAACAAGGTGTGTGACAACCGTCCGTCTGCTGTTTAAAAGCAGAATTTGATTGCTGCAAGGACCTTGTTTGACAAAAGGAGAGGGGCGGAGAGATGGAGTCAAAGAGAGAAGTGATGGACCCAGAAAAAGAGAGAGTGTGACTGAAAGACAAAGAGTCACGAAGACTGTGAGTGTACATGCGAGTCGGACAAATAGAAAGGAAAGGTAAAGGACAGAGGAGAGCGTGAAAAGGCATAATAAGTGGAATGTGTCGACGGCTGACAGACACGACACCATTTGAGCTAATTCTTCCAAAACGTAGTCAGTCACCCTGGAAGAACATCCGAATGAAAGAGAGAGAGAGGCCATGCTTTCATTTGTCCTGTTTTTGTCCTCACTCACTGCCCTCTGTGTGTCCCATCAGTTAGTTTCCATTTACCATTCGTTTTCATTTCAGAAGCCTGTGTAGCTTCACTTTCCCACCCCTGGGCCAAAATCATAGGTTGACAAAAAGCATCACAACACAAAGCTTAACAAACTGATAGGGAATGAGGGCCAAGTTAGTTTTTGAACACAGTATAAACATAATGATATAAATGCAATGGCTTTGTTCCAAATCCTAGTGTGCTGCCTACAGAGGCAGCATTTTAATACATCACATGCCCTCTCAACACAAAGACAACTTAATTATGCTGTCTTATACTTTGCTTTGGCCACATTTTAAGACAGAATCCTATGAATTGTGTATGATTATATAATCACATTGTTAAATATCAAGATAATAATATATAATTAAAACAATATTTGTGTGCAATGTATTTTTGATTAGTCAGCATAGTTTTTATAAGTGTATACTTCCGTTTTAGTATTTTGATGCATCAAGTTAAATCAAATAAAAATTAACTGAAATAAAAAAGGTTTTATGTTATATTATATTTCAGTTAATGTTTCTTTTATTTCAAGTAAAACCATAAAAATGGTTTTAGTTTTAATGAACCATCATAACCCTGATACAGTATCACGCGGTTAGCTTAGCAACACACTAATGTCAAACTTTTGTTTATTTAATACTCAAAAGTATTGATTAAAAACAGAAAAAAATTACCCAATATTTTATACAATGTATTTTTATCATTATACGTATCATCACAGTGTTAGCTTAGCAACATGCTAACATTCTTCACTGAAATCAATTGTGAATCCAGTTATTTGTGTGCCATGCAGTTTGTCTGGTCACGTATAAGGATAGGATGCTCCCTTAAAAGGCAGCTGCCTGTAGCTAGTAGGCAACAAGACAGCTCAGTAGGTTTTGGAACAAAGCTAATGATTAACTACATTTTTTGATTGCTAGCAGAGCATGAGAATGAGGAAGGCCTTTTCTTGCTGACATCATTTCCAAAACGTTTGAGTTTCTGTCTCTCCTGCAAGGCCGTTTGAAGACAAATGACCTCATGCGGCTTTATATTGGGTTGCTTTAAAAAGCAGGAAGGAATTCCAGTGCAATTCTCTCAAGATTTATACTGTCTGCATGCTGATGGCCCCCTGAGGGGTTTTGATTCTCTTCTCGATGCACATACGTCTTCCTTTGGGCATAATTTGTTCTAACAAAACCGGTACAGGAGCAGGTTTGCCCTTTATTTACATCAGACACTGCAGATAACATTATGATCGAATTGGCATTGCATGTATTTTGAGAAACATGAGGCCTTTTCAGTAAGTCAAAGAGATAAGAGATCTCGACATAAGCAAGCAGGACTAGTTTTTAGACGCTGCAGCTCTGAAAATATATTTTTAAGGATTGACAACATAAATTGCACAGATTATGATCACTGTTATACTGAGTTTTCTCATGTGCACTTATAGTCAATCTTTCAGAAATTATGAAAAATCCGTTCAGAAGAAGTCAAACACTTCACATTTAACACTTCAACGTAAAATTTAGTAGCTAACACGGTTCTGGTGGGACACACCAACAGTAGGCATCTGTTTGAGGTCACTAATCGGTTTGTTTTACGCATGTACGGCTGGCACACACAAACACAGATGCTCACAAAAGCGAATTGAACTGATCAAGGCAGACAGGTTACATAATGACGCCGCTAATGCGAACGACTCTGAGCCAGCAGCACAATCACTGTACACAGAAAGGAAATCGAATCCACTTTCTCATCCCTTCTGTTACAGAGACCAAGTGCTGAAACCAAACAGAGCTGTTATATCACTAGTTTACCCAGGTAAGTTGTCTCAAATCACCTCCAGTGTGCTTCTGTATTCACAAGTGTTTTCAATGTATAATATATCCCATGAATCAGCTGATCTGCACTGCAAAAAAATCATATCTTTGTCTTGTTTTATAGTAAAAATATCAACAATGTAAAATTACCATGTCCAATTGATCCATTTAACACAATAAGACTGGGAATGTGCATTAAGGAAGTAAAAAAGGTCCATTTTAATATTCATTTAGTTATGTAAATTAATATTTACACACACACACACACTTCAAACCTATATCTATATACAGTATGTATCTATATTTCTCTCTCTCTATATATATATATACACTCTCTCTCTATAGATATATCTGTAACACTTTACATTAAGGCTAATTAGTTAACATTTGTTAACTACTTTATTTAACATGAACTAAGCATGAACAATACTTCTACAGCATTTATTAATCTTAGCTAATGTTAATTTCAACCTTAACTAATAATTAAAATATACAGTAATAAATCTATTTATTGTTTGTTTATGTTAGTTCATACATTAACATTAACTAATGGAATCTTATTGTAAAGTGTTACCTATATATCTATATCTATTATCTAATTGGTTTCTATATTATACTATGAAATACTTATGCTCACAAAGCCTGCATTTATTTGACTGAAAATACAGTAAACATACAGTAATATTTTGAAATAACCTTACAATTTTTGCTGCTTATATATTTATTATATATAATATAATAATATTTGTCTTTGCTGCTTAATATTTTTTGTGGAAACCGTTTTTCAGGATTTTTTGATGAATAGAAAGTTCAAAAGAACAGAATTTATTTGAAATCTTCTGTTACAAAGTAAATATCTTTACTGTCACTTTTGATCAATTGAATGCATTCTGACTGAATAAAGTAGTTTCTTGAAAAAAATAAAAATCTTACTGACCCCCAAACCATATATTGTACATTTATATTGATGTTTGGCAATTTTATTAGATTTTTTACTGGAAAAAGACAAAGACCTGGTCTTTTCAATCTGAAATGTGGAAGTGCATTTCTTTGGCTTTTATGAGCAGTCATACAAGCTGAATGATCACATGACATCAGGAGTATCCTGAGACAACATCAAAAGTCATCTGGCACATACATATACGACGGCCCCTTGAGAACAGCTCTAATTGAATTGCACATCAGCTGTTCACCTGAGCCCTAAAGAAAACCATCAGATAATCCAGCCCCTCCCTTGCTCTCTTTCATCATGCATCTCTCCTGCTTTTCTTCAAAGATGGGACTTCCTGGTTCATTTCCCAGGCTTTGGCCTCACGTCACCGTTGCTATGGTGACCTGGTATTAAAGCAGGGACTTATCTCACCCCCTCAGTCAGGCAACGCTGTGCTGCTCCCTCGGCACCTGATGGAAAACCTGCCACTGCCCGCACGACTCGCTTTAGATAGTATTACTGCTCCATTTCTCCCCTTCTCTCCTGTTTCTACTGTCCATTTTTCATGTTACCGACTTCCAGACACTGTTCATCAAACCCTGAGTGGACATTCTTTCTTTAGAGAGAGGAATTTGCCTACAAAATATGCTTATAATGGTTTCTTTCTTTCTCATGTGTTGCTAGTGCTGGACGGAAATGTTTGTCGAGCCCAGAGTGATGTTTGCGAAGGACCTCATCACCTTGACCCCCAATGCAGGCCTCCTGTCAGTTAATCCAGGCTTTGTGCTGAGAGCCTGACTGAGCCACATTTACAGATGAAAGAGCAAAAAATAACCGTAGATTTGCCATTCAATTATTATGCTTACAAAGAAATACACAGACAAAAAAAATAGGGATAAAGATCAAATATATAGGTGCATTTACAATGAGTGCCCAAAACACAAATTCAATTACAAATTCAAATACAAGTGTGTTTTAATCTCCACATTTGAGACACCTCGACAAATCGAGACACAATCGAGACAATTTATGCCTTGACTTAAAAGGGCAATTGCATAATTGCGAGTTTAAATAAGAAATAGTCACATTGTGAAATATGAAGAGACACTGTGAAATTAAGTCAAATGATATGATGAGAAAAGTCTCAACTGTGAGATGTTA